GAACCAACCAATGTTCTATCGTCCAACAAATATGCAGAAGGAAATGGAGGTGGATTGGAAATACTCTGAGGAGACCATTGAATGACATAACGCGACAGGCCTTTGAGTGAAATCCAAATTTAAATTGGGCGTGTGAGGGTGACATGGTGGAGATCGCATGAGGAAAAAAATGAAAGCTTATAGGCAATTGTGAAGACGGTTAAAAGAGACTGCAGAGATTAGAGTTAACTGGGAATGTGATGCTGAAGCTACTTATATTCCACCCAGGACCTAAAGAAATAATAATAGTAGTAATTAACAACATATCGTAGTTTACTTTAACATAATGAATTCATTCTTGATAGTTTAGAAAGTCACCAAATGTATAAAATAAACTTCGAATGTCAGTCATATTTTAGTTTCCATTCAGCCATTAACTGACTGCCAGTGGAGTGTACGCTTCTCTTATAAAACTGTTTCTTATCAGTTTATAGCAATCGTCTTAAACTGTCAGTCATAATATGATGAAATTGTCATGAATAAAAGGTGTTAAACTAGCCATAATGAACATCCCCTAGAGCTAAAAACATTTTTTCTCTCGGTTGATTTGTTTTAATTATGGGTTTTCTTGTCGTATGAAGCATAAGTTGTGTGAGCTGTCTATCAAGTATGCTAACAAAGTAACATTAATAGAGTTTTTGTGAATTCATTTAAAGTTGCATTGGTTTCCTCAAAATTTATCATATATGAACTAGTTTTTTTCTCCACTAAACTTTAACATCAGCCAAGTTTAATTTGAAAAAAATATCCAGCAGAGACTATAATTAAATATCTGAAATAAAAAAAAAGATAATAACATATTTAGAAATTGATACTTTGACTTCGATATGTAAATATTTCATTAATATACACCCTTTGAAGTAGAATAAGGTAGTGAAATATCGTCTACCATTTGAGCAACTTTTTATTCTTTTCACTAAGCTTGTGAAATATTTAATACATCCTTGATGGTTTTACACTTTTCATAGTATCACGCGTACTGTTCGAATCTCAAAAGGGATATAAATTCCTTCACAGGGGTGTAGATACACCTTGCTGGCGATTACCAACTAGCAAGAAATCCAAGGCTTTCTGTCTATTGCCTTCAACCATCTGATATCTTGTTCATTGAGGTGAATATATATATTAGCTTTTGTCTTCAAAATAGACTTCCCTTAATTTATGGTGCTCTTTCACTTCAGTAAGAGTAGAATTTCGACACTATGATACAATAGAACTCGTTATTAGATTCGTGTATCTAATATAACACATAGTGATACAGGACTGGTTACTGGATGACCCAGTGATTGAATCATCACTACGTTAATGATATTGTGTCACCAGCAGTTATCTCAAATAAACCTATCTAATAAGTCTTGCATGTGTTGTGGCATCCACTATCACACACAAACACAGACAAGCACACAATATATTACTCTTCATCCGTCTATTAAGCAACTTGTGTATAGTTACATTAAATGTAGTGACATTTTTGGAGTTGTTCACAATGAAAGCTTAGCAATCAAATTGTTCAGTCTATAGATCACGATAACACCGAAAACGTCTCCCTGAACTACAAATCTCCACTATTTCACGCACAGACATTACATAAGAGTCAGTCAAGTTGTCAGATTACTTATATAACATTCACTTCTTAAGGTGGATGCAATGAAACATTTTAAACTATTTATCTTAGCACTACCTAAAATAATATTTCATTTAATCTCAAAATCAGCATTACGGTAACGTAAGATGATTGAGAAATTCTGAAGCGTTGTATATTTTCCATGTTAACAAAATTTGTAAACAGTTTGAACGAAAAATATCCTGCCGTCTGGATTCGATAACATCCTTAAAATTGATGTGTTGATTTAGTCGGTACTAATAATAACGCTGCAACTATACAGTGTGGAATCAAGCTGTAAATCAAAAAAAAACTAGGATCAGAAACTTGGCGGGCGGGTCACAAAGAATATTTCCAACAGCCTGTTGCACACCTTCATCAACCAACAACTGTCTTCGCTGGCTCTATACTGAAGATCAGATCAGATGACAGGGTCGGAAAGAATCACCAACAAGAAACTAGCTGTGGGAACAAACAAAACAAGAACCAATCGCCCACCAACGACAAATATGCAGGAGGAAGTGGAGACGGATTGGACACTCGCTGAGTGAGGAGGCCGCTGGGTGACATCGCGCGCGCGTCAGGCCATTTCTCGAGTGGAACCCGACGGAATGGGAAGCCGCGAGTGGGACGTCAGTGCAAGGGTGAGATGGAGGAGATCGTGTTAAGAGGAGTTGAAACAGTATGGACTAACATGAATGCAGGTGAAAAGTAGAGCAGAAGGAAGACAGAAGCAAGTGGAGACGTGGAGTTGAAGCCCTATGTTCTACTAGGAACCCAAGGGAACAATAATAATAATAAAAATAACTAGGATTCAGTATGAGAAGACAGTAAGTAACACATCAGAGACAGAATACCAATACATATTTCCAATCACTCCTAAACCCCCCACACCCCACGCAAATAGAAATAAAAGATAGGCAGGTCCAAGACTGAGATAATAAATCAATCTTTACTATAAAAACATACATTATGTACAGGTACTAAGCACCTCGGAAAGTTAAGCCAGTAGATAGCTAATTTGATTGGCTACATAAATTGGGTCTTCAAGCCTATCAGAAAGCGTTATAGTGAATAGTCTACCTCTGCCTGATCATTTAAATCTGTTCAAAGTGGTATAAGCTGTTTTCAGCCTGTACTATCTGACCTAAAGATTTAGAGAAATCAAGAGTACATAAAAGTACGTAAAGTGCTATTTTTCCTAGATAAAAAGAATATTCATTTCTGCCTACTCTTAAATAAGACTTGCTTTAAGTTCTAACAATTTTCTGGTTTAATATTCTTTCCCTTCATATGCAGGAGTGCGTAGCGCTTGCTTTTGCGGTGCACAGTTTGTAAACTCAAGAAGACATAAACCAAATTTCATAATATATTTTCAAATCAATTCCCCATCTCTGATGATAATTAAATCCCTTACGAATCATTCAAGCTTTTTTTCTTATCCGATTACAATAGCATACGTTCATACACACATATTATAGCAATATACATAGACTAATGAGTGTGATTCGTCAATGAGAATGCAAATTTTTTTTCAACACTTCAAGCATATGATGTTATTTAGATCAAGCTTTGTAAATTACTGTCTACTACTCACTTAATCCTGTCTAGAATATTTCAAAGCAAGCTTTAATTCATTCTTAGTTGTAAGATTTGATAAAGACTCCTTTTTTGCAAATTTGATCGTATTTGCAAAACAAGACCTTTTAAAAAAGGACCTTTGTTGGTTGAAACAGTAATTGTGTTGGTTAAACAGTTTCAATAAGTGATCTAGTCTGATTAAGTATACTTTTTAAAGTGATTGAGTTATTGATTGCAAAGCAAGTTATGCTTTACAGACAAATCAATAGCTGGATATTTGACAAGCTGAGCATGATTGAAATCAATGTAGACTATCCAACAAGAAATACAAAACAACCATTTCATGTTGTCTCTTATGTCCCAAGTGTTTCAAGTTCATATATGTGCCTAGAAATAGAAATTCTATCAGAAAACCCTAGCCCTATTGATTACGTGACATGAAAATGAATAAATGAAACTCATCTCATAAAGATGCAATCAAAATAATCAGCTTGAAATGTAATCAAGGATGATACAGTGTACAACTTAAGCTCTTTAATTAACGAATTATCTTTTTTCCTTTTCATTCCTTTACTTTCTAAGTGGAACATAATGCCGCAAGCTTGAAGCTTGAAGTTTCAGCACTAGTAGTCGTGTTTTCACAAGTGATTGGGCCTCTAACCAAACGTTACCTCTTCACCTGGCTTACTACCAGCTAGGTGAAGTTTAGGAATGCGTCGTCTGGGAATCAAGCCCAAAATACGCACGTTGTTGGCATCAATTCTACCACTGAACCACCACTCTATCCTTAAAAATAGTGCCAATTAATGACAGGATTGAATATCTTTCATTGACGCAAACGATTACTATTCTAACTTTCATTTCAACTGAATACTTAATTATTCAGGTGATTTCTATAAGGATCTTGATAATTGTGGAATAGAATTCACACACGCGGATATTGCACAGTTTGAGGTGAGATATCACCACAGTTTCCTTCGGAAACAAAGACTATTCACATGACAATTTGTGGGCAGCTTTATGCAAAATTTTGAATGCAAGTAAATTAATATCATAGTCTGTATTGCATATTGATATGACTACTTGTAATTTTTTTTATTCCTTCACGTTCCCAGTGGAACATAGGGTTTCAAGCTACAGGCTTGAAGTTCCTGTAGCAGTGGTGTTTATTTTTACAGGATGAGGTTGCTAGCCTCGTGCCCAACCTTTCTCCCTTATCAGCTTTTATTACTGGCTTAGAGAGGTAAAGGAGTGCGTCAGTGGCCGGGGATCGAACCCCGGACCGTGTGCATGATCGGTGGGCATCCTAACCGCTGTGCCACCGACGCACACTTGTAAATTACTTACATCAACTAGTGGTGGTTTATAGCCACATGGAAGTGATATAAGTGCCCAAAAGAATATTTCGCTCTTTTGAGGCTGGCATTACCAGAGGATTCATGTGAACACAACCGAATCCCTTCAAACCACTTGAGTTCAGATGGTTTGAGTGATTTCCAGAAAATTATATCAATCAGTAGCATTTATCATTATGTTATGTAGATAACTTTAAAATAATTTTAGCACAAAGAAGCTTGATAAGTGTATTTTTCTATTGGACTGCTAACTGAACCACACAAATTTCTGTCATTAGCGAGAACAAAGAAGATGAATGACTAAGACCTCAAGTTGCAACCTTCACTTATTAATTTACTTTACATTTCTATTTGGTCTCTAATGTTTTCATTCAATAAACCAGTGTAAGTCATTATTCACAGATTCACTGTTTTCTTTTCAGACTTGGTCCTCTTATTCATACAGTACGCCTTAAAGCTTTGGCTGCATCATCTTCACTTGGAGGTATACTGGGGCCACCGTCAGCAGCAACAGCAGCAGTTCACTCGAATACTGAGTCTTTCCCATCGCCTGAACTATTGGCAAGTATTAATAAAACCTTAAAACTATGTGAACTAGCATTTTATGATAAAGATCCAGTAAAACTTGGCGAATTTTTAAAGTCATGCGATTCTATGCAAATGGATCCAAAATGTCAACAACCTGGATCAGTGACTATCAGCCAGCTTGTAAGAGCAATGAAATTAACACCATTTTTAAACCCACAAATCAGTAAATGGATTAAAGGTAGGCGCTGAGTTTTTGAAGATAATATAATGTGATTATTGTTATTCTTAAATATTGGTACCTACGGCAACTAACACCATCGATGAATTCACAATCAAGTAGTGATATATTTCGAATCAGATTGTGGATTGACATTAGTCAGTGAAATTTTGGAAGCCAAGGAGCACCAAACAGCTGTTTCATCCCGGTTTGGAACTCTTCATCAGTAGGAATCATCACTACACCAAGTATTTGATTCAGAAACTTCAGATTACGAGATGAACTTTCTGATCATTCAGTGACTAGGATGGGATCCAATGGCCCATTAATTCTAACTTCTACCAATTCACAATATTAAAGTGTTGGTTTGTGGGGATTTGATTGGTTACAGGATTTCATCATGAGCTGACAGCAGTTAGAGAACCACTGGAAAACCACCTGGGGGTAGTGGACAGCTGTTTCGTCAGCCTAGTTTGGGACTCTCCAGAAGTTCGTACCTACCGGGGTTTGAACCCAGGACCTTCTGGTTACAAGGCGAGCTAGCTCGTAGACAACTGAGCCACTGGGACCCGATCCAATGGCCCATGAATTCTAACTTCTTCCAATTCACGACATAGCGCGACCACTAGCCAATGTCTTTGGCGAGTATTTGTCCTCAAACCCGACCTGCTGCGCCCTACTGGTCACGACTTCTCACTAGAACCCCAGGTAACCACCTACCTGAATAGAGCAAGTCACTAGTGAGCATCTCATTGAAATTCAAGTGTTGGTTTGTAGGGATTTGATTGGTTACAGTTCACAACATCTAATGCAACTGGCAGCCAGTGTCATAGGCGAGTATTTGTCTTCACACCTGGCGTCAAGGAAACAACTGTCCATTACTCCTGGATTTTAATGGTTGACCAACTGACATCGTTTCTTGATATAAGTTGAAGCTAATCAAATCCCTCAAAGGTTCATCAACAAGTATGGAAGATCTGAAGTCACAAATGTAAAACAAATCACAGTAGAAAAAAAGCCAGTCTACCTTCAGCTTGATTATAAAGGTGAAAATATTGCAGTGATGATCAACAGAAGGCTGAGTACATCACTAGCCATAGCGTATCCTGCAGCTAAGCTCGTTCCCGGCTATCGAACAACTTGCTCTTTGGTGCAATCAAAAATCGATAGATATCCTTCTCATGTTACCTCCAACTGTCTTTACAAATTTACATGTATCTGCGTGAGCAGTTACACTGGAAGGACAGAAAGAAGGGCATATCTACGATTTTCCGAACATGTACCAAAAAGTTTACGTCTAAAAGGAACAAATGCTTTAAACAGTGCCATCACCAGGCATCTCCTCGACACGGGTCATGAGGTGGACATCGAAAAGTCGTTCAAAATTATCAATAAGCAAAACAGCTCAATTCTCCTTAAGTTTGCTGAAGCCATTTCCATCAAGCGCCTGAAACCTGATTTATGCGTCCAGAAAGAAGCGGTTATCAGTCTTTCTTTGCCCTGGTAACTCGATAATTTCACCTCTATTTCCTCCGAATGCGAAATGCTAAAAGTTTCCATTGTGTATGATTATTATTGTTCGGAATAGTGGTTAATATTGCAAATTTATATATGTATATATTCTTAGTGTATGAGTATATTGATCGACTGATTTTTGTTTAAACTTAACTCTGTGCAAGTATGTTAAAACTGTTGTTGTAGATATATTTAATAATGTCTTTGCCCTGTAAGCAGCTGACGAGAAGGCAACTAAATAAAAGATGGTACCATTTTATTCTGCTAAAACTGTAGTTCTTGCTTTTTTCAAATTCATTAAGGAGAATAAATATATGAAATCATTGAATAGTTGATATAGCAAAAAATTTATTTACCAGTATCTGTAACTTTAGGTGACTGCATGCTCTTAATGGTTTTCTCTATTGTACCTAGTATCTTGTACTAAGAAACTTTCGATTAACATAAATACATCAACTTTGAAGTTATAAAGCTCAGCTAAAATCCGTAGTAATGGACATACATTTTATGCTGTAGTGTTAGTCAAGTTGTGTTCATCTACATTATAGTGAAGTCACAGCACACTGGCCACCTTAAGATTTCCAACTTAGTGTTTTTTAATAACTAAGGCGAGATAGTAAAAAAAAACTGATGAAAAACGCAATTTCATGCCGATATTCCCATCTGCCTTTCAAATCCACTAATCTATAGAACATAAATATTTAATTAAAAGGTACTGAAGCGAATGACTGCTTAAAAAGCAATTTTTGTTGAAATATATTTCATAGTTATTGAACTGAATTTTTGATTTTCCCATGACTGATTGGACCGAAGTGCTCGGTCTCAGGTTGACATGTCGGCTTCTTGTGCAGATGCTTCGACGATGTCTGGGTATTTAATTAGTATACAATTGGTAGATGGTGGCTAGCAGTAGAATCCAGGATGCGCATTTCGTCCTATTTGGAACTCATCAACTGGATGTACCTGCATTTCTCAGTGAGTGATGATGTTCCCACCGAGGCTCGAACCCAGTGCCCATAGTTTCGAACGCCAAAGCGTTATCCACTAAACCACTTGAACGAAACGCGCATCCCGGATTCCACTACTAGCCATCATCCACCAATTGTATACTAATTAAATACCCAGACATCGTCGAAGCATCTGCACAAGAAGCCGACATGTCAACCTGAGACCGAGCACTTCGGTCCAATCAGTAGACGGGAAAATCTAAAATTCAAAAAAAAAACAGTTTGATTAGGTGTATTCAAATAATCAGGTCTTCAGCATTCATTAAGTATTTGCAAGTGCAACTTATGAACTGAAGATAACTATAAATGAGTCCTCTTTTCTTTCTCATTTTCTGTAGAAGTACTGTTGCCGAAATGGAATATTCTCGAGAATAATATTGAACAGAAAGGTATGTAGTTTTTAATGATCACTTATCTTTTATCATTTTTGTTACCATAATTATTACCACTGTCCCTACAATTATTATTACTACTGATAACGTTATTTAAAGACAGGGTTTAAATGTTTTTATCCACTGTAGGATTTCCTTGTTTCTTAGTTTTCTTGTTTTGTTTTTCTTATAAAATATGGATAAACATTATATACTACTAACTAACCGACATGAGTAACTGGACACCACTCACATCGACCAGTAGTGCTTGCAATCCACATCGAAGTGATTTAACCACTGGGCAGCCATTTCTTCCGTATACATCAACATGCATCAGTGCTTGCTTTCTGGATTGCTGTTTGTGGTATTAAGCAGATCACATATTGTGATCTAAATAATTTCGGTTTTCAGTGGAAACTGAGGTGAAACCGTTACCTCGGAATGTGTGAATCGCAAACAGGGAATCTGATTGATAAACACTGGTTAATATATATATAATGTAATACAATTTATTTTATTAAACTGTAATGAAGCACAGCACTTTTCTTTCATGGAATCACATAGAAACATATTTACAAACCCAAGTCCATTATGCACTATATTTTTATCACTGGCTTTAATGGCCTTTTAGATCGAAATATTTCAAATTAACTTAATCTGTGTATAAGGATGAATTTTTATCACTTTTCTATTATATTAAATTAAAAAAAGACTTTATAGAATTTGAAATCCCTAAACTGTAAAAGTTCAAAATATTCTCTACAATAGTGTCCACCACCTGTAATTTTTGAAAGTAGAGGAATAATACTATCATAAAATTAAAACACTTACCGTAAATTCACCAGACTTCCCTACTGTTTTTTTACCCACCTTAATTTCAAATAAATATGTGAAACATTTTTAAATGTATATTTAAATGAATGCTTTATCTGTAGAATAATTCAAGATTTTCTTAAAATATTCACACTACCTTCAAAATATGATAAGTAGAATAAAAACAAACTACATTCCAAGGAGTGAACATTGGATCAATCAAGATTTTACCTTAGTTAGATGCTTTTGGTGTTGTTGTGTTCTATGAGTTGAATGATTTAAATGCTAAGTTTTCAATGCTGTTTTAGACATTGAAAATTTAACAGTTGAACCACTCAGTTCATAGAACATCAACATCACCAAAAACGATTGCATATTGTATATAGTGCAAAAAGCTGCACTTAAATATGTTACTTGTACGTCCTTCTTCATTGTTTAAATTAAAACTTTACAAATTGCTCATCGGTTTTCCATCGTAAAGACTTAAATCTCAAAGATGAACATTTCTCATTTAAGTAAAATGATATTGCCTTTTGATACCGAAAGTAGAAACAGAGAGGAACTCACCATCTGTTATTCACTAACATCATGAAGTTTTATAAAACTGAGACAAAATTAACATTTTTATCTGAATAAAACAGTCCATTTCATATTTACAGAGGTTGACCTTTACCTTCGATAGATCCATTCAAACTAAGTCTGAGGATAGTTACTCACTGATAAGGAAAGATAATCTGAATCACCGGAATCAAGGCTGTGAGCCAATGAATTCCAGTCTAGTGGCTAAACAGTAAGACGGTTGTCTGTCATATTTATTTAAACTTCAATTACCCATCCATATCGTATTTAGTATTAGGCAGCTTCTCCTTTGACGGTCTAATTTGATAGGTGAAGTATTCACATTATCATGCTGTTCTCACTTGTTCTCATCGTCTGGATCATTATTACACCACTAAATGATAACTGTCACAGAATCACTAGACAACTAGCAAAGTTAGAAATCATGGGTCACAGGATTACAAAAAAAATGTGTAACTTGAATCTCCGGGGTCTGATCCATTGTGGGATGATAAGTTCGTAATGCTTAACAACCCCAAACTAGGACAAAACGTTAGTCAAGTGTTCTGTGATACCAGTTAGTGACTGAATTTAGCCGACAGATGAAAATAATGTGGTTCTCTGAAATATCTTTCCTTAAATATTTTTCAATTAGTTATTCTCTAAAAATTATATATTGTATAAACTTTATACATGGATCGATGGAGTCAGTTTTTTGTAATTTTATTTCACAGAAAAAAAGCCAACAAGTTCACGAAGTAGTCAGCGTTCACAGAAGCATAATGTGAAACACGATCTACCTAATCCCACTCTTATCAGGAAAGAATCACTTAGATCTTCTATATTGAAACTGAAGGTAAGTTTAATTTTGTTTGTTCACCAATTTACATTTAATAAGCCTTCTAAGATAACGACAGAATATGAGGTGACTTAGGTTATTCCTGACAAAAACTTTAATTCCAAAACAGATGTTTCGCTTGAGGGACATATTCTAAGTCGACAAAAATATAAAGACAGACAGTTTCACCCGATTCTAAGGTTACATAACGTCTAACAGAAACACAGCATTTAATTCAATCTAGATTTTCCCGTCGATTGATTGTACCGAAGTGCTTTGTCTCAGGTTGTCATGTACGCTCCTTGTTGCTCCAGATGCTTTGTCGATGTTCAGTCAACTGACAGGGAAAACTAAATTGAGTTAAATAATTAATAAGACCCTCTACACAAAAAGTACCTCTCGTGGCCCACCTGGTCTGGTGGATAACGCTTTGGCGTTTGAAACTGTGAGCGCTGGGTTCAAACTTCGATGGGAACACCATCACCTACTGGGGAATGCAGGTACATCCAGAAGAAATGCCCATCATGGATTCCATTTCTAGTCACCATCAACCAAATGGCTCCAAGAAATACTGCATTCCCAAAGAATTAGAAATTTAAAAAACTCTTTTAATCTGCATTACTGTACATCTTTGTAAACAACACGTCGTATACACACGACTGCTATCAGTTGCATCATAAGAGACTGTATTCTAAAGTACTCATTTCTTTAAAATTTCCTAATATCTGTATGCAAACCATGGGCTTACACCACTTTAATCGTTAGCTTAACCTCCAAATCAAGTTCATTAATCTATTCTACCGTTGCTTCTCAAAGAAAGAAACATTTGACTTAATGAGCTCATAATAATAATTCTTTAATTTTCACAATTAACAGTTTAACGTTTAGATATCATACCATGTTTCAGTAGTGTTGTTTGTTCTTAAACCGATGTCTATACTTACTAGTACATAATGTACATAGTCTAAATATACCTAGATCTTCCAGTTATAAAATTAACCAAACGAGTATTGATTATCTCTCATCAGAGGAGGCTCCACTCTACATCAGAATACTCATCACTTGAGGAGTATGAATTTAAATGCACTGTATGTAAACCTTTACTAGAAATATTTACAGTCATACTTTGCAATGCAGTTATAAAATATACAGATGAAATTAGGTTAGTAAATGCGTAAATGAAATATGAAAACTGTTTTTATCGCCACCAGTAAAAATATTTTAATCTAAAAGTACAGCTTTTAAACAGCTTGTCGAATACTCTATAAATTACTCTCTTAGGTGATAAATTAGTCGAGAAATACAGCACTGTAACCGTTATTGTCTTTTACGGAATTAAAACTGGGCTATAAATCTTCTTCACTTTCTGAAAGTCACACTGTCTTATTAGAAATTGACGTTAGTCTTCAGTATTTTCATTCACACTGACATTCAAATTGTGAATAATATTCTACTTAAAGACGCAAGGTAACATCAAGTTGTCCATAATAATGAAACGTCTGCAAATCCATTTTAACTGGCGTTTATGCACAATTAAAGGAAGAGGTTTTCATTCAACTGCAGCATCATATTGGCGTCTTCAATACATCACTTTTTGCAATGCATATTATGATCTTTTACCATTGTCTTTCATCAGTTTCTCTCACAGCTAGACGATTTCAGTTTATGATCATAGTCAAGTTGTTTACTGTATTCTTCGCTACAAGCTACACCTTGTGTACTGGTAATTACAAGTGCACAAAAAAAGCACAATGAAGACTGGCAAAACTACATTATATCTATCAAATGAGTGCAGCTTACTTAATTACTAGTATTGTGACGACAGAAGACAAGGCCCAGGCAACAGATCGTTTATTGAAAAAATCAACCGATATATATACATTTTTATGTACATTGTTATTGGTTATTATTAGCAGAGAAACAGCATCTTCTGATTGGTTTTTTTCTCGCTGAAAGTTATTCTGTCATCTCTTTGCGGTCATTTCTTTGAAGGTCAGACCATATGTCTGCTAATCGTATCCGCCCATGCAAAGTTTGTTGTGATTGTTTGTTGAATTAGTTTCTGTTCTTATGCTTTTCTCATGGCCAAGATATGGACGTAAACATTGACGTAAATTATTGTCTGCCAATTTGGCTAGCAGACAGCTCTCACTATAATATAACTGCATCCCCGAGGAATGAGTACACAATAATATTTTACTTAGATCGTTTATTTCTCGCGCTATTCATTTTCTTTTTAACTTTTAGGAAACGGTACCAAAAAAACCGCTGAATCAGTTTACAGTAGATGAAGTATGTCACTTAGTTGAAAGAATAGTTCTGTTAACTTCGAAACCACTTATGAATGATACAATGAATTCTTATCCAAATACAAAATCACAAAATCGCTTATTCAATAATGAAATGGATTCAACATTTATTAAACGATTAAGCTCTGAAGAATCTGAAACACTTATCAATGATCCAATACCACCAGCAGCTGTGAATACCATAGTACATCATGAACATACATCTTCAAACATTAAACGTTATACAGAATCTATGAGAAAGTTAAATATCACAGGAAGTGTATTAGACTTGTGTTCATTAAAGGATTTAGAAGCAAAGCTTAATATGTTGCCTGTTGACTGGAAAATGTTTTGTGCATTTATACAACATTTAAAGAAAACAGAAAGTGAAGAAACAATTTCAACAAAATCACGAAAATCAAATGAACAATTCACTGTACCATATCAAATATTACCTCAGAATCATCAAAATACAGCTCAAGTATCAAGACATAAATCTATAGAAACTGATAAATCTTCAGTATTATCAGAAGTTAGAAAAGATCAGTTAATGATGAATACAGTTAGTGATACAAGTTTGACAGTAAAAAGTGCTCCACTTACAAAGGACTATCAGTTGGACAATGAGTTAAATTTAGTTGATCATGGTTATGATAACAAGAAAGATGGAATCACTACAGCTCAGATACGTGCAAGCAAATCAGGAGATAGTAAACACGCTTCAGAAAATAATATTCATGTACCATACTTTAGTTATACGAATGAACTTTCTGAGCGCAATGATTACCCATTGCATCATTCAAAAATGTCTGAAGGACCGGTTCATAGTGTCCTGCCACCTTGCACTAAATATCAGTCAAGGATAGAACCAAACATGATAACTCAACAGTCAAGACATATGCATTATAATAATAAAATTAATAAATCTCAATATGAACTGAGATCTAAACCTTGTCATGACAACATTCATCCGCATTCTCATCACAAGTTGAGGAATCAGAAATCACTAGGATCTAAAGTAGTTTGTGATCAAAATGAATGTGATTGTTACCTGCATGACTCAGCATTTCCAGATGATACAGGGGTACATCGGGCTTACACACTACCTCATTCCTTACAATTTTATCACCAGAAACAGTATAAACTACATATGCATGATTATGCATCGCATTCTTCACGATCACCAAACGCTGCAATTTGCAGTCGTCATCATATGCCGACAGCAGGAAATAATCTTGTACCGTCAGCAACAATGCAAGAATCATTGTTAACTGATAATTTAGAATTAACAAGTCAAAAATGTATGCAATGTAAATTTCCACTGCACACAGAATATCACCAACATTACTGTATTCATCAACAATGTATTCCAGACTTTTATAATTCCCATCATTTAGTCAATAAAAGTGCATCTTATTTGCATAAAACTGCTGAATTCTTACATCGTCCCTTAGATCCATCGAACATTCACGGCCATGATAATAAAAAGATTACAACGTCAGCAACACGTCAATTCAATACACCTGCTGATTATCCAACACCATGTGTAAAGGATTCTGCCTCTACTTCATTAGCCGGTGAACTGGGTGATGAAGTGGCTGATATGAGTCAAATAAGTAATGAAGAGGAGAACATAAACGAAACTTTTGTAATTACAGATGAAAAATTGGAAGTAAGAAGACTTAAACAACCTTCGATTCCTTCAACTCCTGATACGATTGCATATCAACAACCATGTGATTGCAATTACTGGTATGCTCATGAACAACAACAATCACACCGACATCTACATCATGACCACTATCAAGTAAAGCAGACGACAGATATACAAAACCAAAATTCTGATCAGATAATTAATTCTGTAATGGAAAGAGAGCAGATAAATTCCAGTTTAGATACACTCAGTACTACAACAAATAGTAGTAGTGATAATAGTAGCACAACTAATCTTAGTAATGAAAACGCCAGTGAACACAGTCATTTGGATGTTAATAATTCAGTTGATAGTTGTGATGAAATCACATCGGAATGTTCTAGTGATAATACAGTTAATTCAAAATGAAAATCTACTAAACAATGTCGCTGATAAAAACTACATCGAAATCTCTTATACAAAACAGCAGTTGAATCTAAAATCATTCAAGAAAATTTTCCACTTCCTACAACAACTGAATTCTAAAATGAATTACACCAACTGATAACAAGCTTTGATTGACTTCTTTCGTAATAATAATACTCCTAATAAGAATAATAATCGTAATAATGGCAACAAATTTGATTATTGATCGTTTCATATCAACAAGTAGCGTCTGAAATTCGATGAAGTAAAGTAAATTGGTAAATTTACCCATGTGATATATGCTAATTTTAACAACAGACACTTGTAAATTTAGGACTTAGATAATAAAAAATTTTAACTATATTTCCTACAAATAATAACCTACTGTAAAAAAGAAACTAAACATGAAGTCAACTGAAGTTTTGATTCAAATAAAAAATTGCTTAAGTGAATATATACATACAGTTTAATGTTTTCGGTTAATGTAACTTGAAATATGCTTGCTTATGTTTTAAGCCGACCACTTTAGTAATGAGTGATCTGCAAATGCATTTATAATCTCCTTATCTTTGTTTTTCGGTAAATCTATCTTCCAAAGTTGTACTGCTTGTAAAATGTTTTTGAAATAAATATTAACAGACATAATGAATTCATCATTTAATTTATGATATATATATATATATATATATATATATATATATATATATATATATATATATATATATATATATATATATATATATATATATATATATATATATATAATGTTTAGTTTGTCCGAGGACTTATTTCAGACTACATGCTGCTGAAATATTCAAGATTAAGTGTCATTTTAAGGAAGATAGAAAGGTAGTTCCTCACAACATTTTCAAAATGGTATTTGCACTAACTATATAGGTAGCTGTTAATGGAGCTACACCAGTACATCGACGGATGAATTTTACCTGTTTGCATGAGAAAATTAGCGTCCTTAGTTCAATGGTAGAATGCTCACCAACTACGCAGTAGTTCTGGGCTGGATCTATCTGCTAATCTTCACCTAGCAGTTGGTGGGCCTTGAAAAGAAGGGAAGGTTACCGTGAGCTTAGTAAACTCACCCTGTGAAAACAAACAGCATCATCAAATATTGAAGTCCTGTGACACAATTTAGACGCTCAGCAGCGGAAATAAAAAATATTAGAAAGTCTGTGGCATGTTCTACTGACAAGTGTTCATAAGTAACATATTGTGTATGATGTCTTTAATGGGCTCACCAGTTTACCTCAGGTATTCGTCACCTAACTGGGGCCAACAGCACCACTATAGATGCTTGTCACAAATCTGTTCCCTCGTTCACATGCATAGCATACACCTTGTGGAACTGGCTGGTCTTCAAAAGTAGGATACTAAGCTTCAACATCTCTTGCCGTACCAAGTCTGGAATTATGTGAGAAACCGTTGGATATAGGTAAGGATAATATCCTCTGTAACATTTCTAAAAATACTCCGTGTCTAGTTGTGCCTAACGTTTGTCGACGTAACGTCTTCAGGACGTTACAGAGCCCATTTCACCCAGTAGTTTGAACCACTTTCAAACTCATCACTTATTACAAAGAAGGGAGTAAGGCGTTGGGGTCATACGTGTCTAGCTTGAGGAAAGTGCACGAAAATAAGACAAAACAAATATACCTATATTATAACTTCACAGAAATTGTTCTTATGTATCCATACTAAGTGTCAGCCAAGTCTCGTAAACCGTCAATGCCCAGCTCTTGCTACGCTGTGACTTGCTCTGTTCCTTGAAGTTTCTCAGAAACGCTTAGTAATAACGGACGCAAAAACCAAAACACCGATTGGCTACTCGAGAATTCTTTATTGTAACACCAACAAATAGCCAAATTTAAGCTTTAAAACTAAGGTCTATGAAAAATTATTACAATAATAAGTCACAATATTACTTCTGACGGTTTTGGCCTGACTTCTTTCTGAACAGCGACCGATGAGACGATGACTGTAGTATTGATGCCTCCGCGAAAATTCGGGAAGTTGATTTTGAGCAAACAACCATGAATTGATCGTTCAATCTTCAACTCCCTTGACACTCCCCGGCAAAAAGGGATCCATCCCTTTTTTCCATCACGACCAATACACGTTGACTTGGATGCCATTGCGAGAACCTGGGTCACACGGACAGAGCTGAAATGGAAAACAAACAGAAAAGCCAACACACCACAAGCATACCCACAGCACAATCTCACACATCGCTGACGACCTGCGCCTCCAGACAGAGACCTCCTCTTGACATCTTGCAACACAATCGCCACTTGCTAGAATGACTCTTGCAGAATGCAACGTGACCATAGCACCAACTCATGATACTCTACGCACATCCTCTTATCTACTCACTACCAATTACCACTGCAATCGCTTGTCACTCATTCTGCCTCAGTTCTAGTAGCGGTGACGCATGCGAGCCTCAGTCGTTTACACTCTTTCTCCCCGGCGTGTCGGAACGCAGCTAACAATTATCTCCGTGTGCATTTCATTCTCAGCAATAGCCTAGCCTCCCCGGCGTATACGCCCCATCTGCTGTCCTTAACATCAATCAATTCATTCATGGATGTAGAAGAGTGGACACAACTTCAGAAGTAATCACGACGAAAATTTTAACAAAATTATGCAATAAAAACAAGGTGCGAAAACAACGAGTAAACACAATGAATCCAAAAAACACCAATTGATATGACACACCACACATATATACAAACAGTACACACAAACTCGCAGATCGTGTCTTGGTGGAATTCCTTTGAAGAATCGCAGGGCTAACACCAGTACGCCTACAAACCTTCACAGGTTGACGATTGTAAGTTGTGAAATGTCCGGACACAAACAAGATTATTCAACAATTACAATAATCGGAACTCACACAATTATTTAACACAAACATATATACAATCAACACATCAAAGTGGTGAATTCTGCCTTGACGAACTACCCTTGAAGAACTGTAGGACTTACAGCAGTACGCCTACATCCCTTCTCAGGTTGATGATCCAAGTGGAAGTCGTCCGGACACAAAACGAATTACCAACAGCTATATGACAGATGATACCAATTCAGTATATACAATATGAACATATGTACAAAATCACACACCAAGCACATTGGACTGCTCATTGATGCGCTACCCTTTGAAGAATTGTAGGACTTACAGCAGTACGCCTACAACCCTTCTCAGGTTGACGCTCTAGTTTGAAAAATCGTCGCAGAGTTCATTTGCTAACTTCCCTCCATCAGCTATATCCTCAAATCTGAACGGTAACACGCTCATGTCAGTGTATCGTAAAATATAGATGACGAACAAACACACGACGTATCTGGTCAACCAAGCGTAGGCACAGAGTAATTTACACCAAAGATAATAACATTCAAATAGTAACTTGAAACTAGAAATGCCTTTATTCGTGCAAGTCAATTTAACAATTACTCTCCCCTTTACACTTGGCTTATCCTCTCTAAACTGACCAATATCTTTCGTCTTTTCAATCGAACTGATACTAGCATAGTCATTGGACAAGATACTTGAGTTGATGGGCGTCTTTTTCATTGTGAATGACAACACCAACGACGACTGATTGATACCAGTTGATGAACTTAGTGGTGGATCAGAAGCTGTTGTTGTTCGGCTTTCAAAAATTTGTCTAACTGCAAGATTACCACCACTGCTGTCTTTCACTATTAGTTCGGGTTTAGCACTAGCATCTGATGATAGGTGGGCTACATGCTGATCAACCACACTGACGGTCTCACAAGTACGCATGCCTTCTGCAACTGCACCTGCATTTATTTCTACTTCACGTTCAAGTTCTACAGAACCTTTTATTTAACTTAGCGGTAGTAGGCATTCCCTCCATTTCATCATGATCAACCAAAGACAAATCTGCACTATCATGATCATTACCACAATTATTCAATTTACCGTCAAGTTCATCATTTTCAAACTCTTTAATAACAGAAGTAGACAATTTTGGCTCCTCCCCACAAATCATTAAAGGTTTTATATCTTCACTCTGACTAGTTATACTTTGTAAACTTATGGAGTCAGAACTCCACTCTGAAGCAGTAAATCTATTCTGTGACACTCTATTCAACAATGGATTACCAGTTGCAGCTACAGAATTCTTGACCGCACCATTATCGTCACACAATTCGGAGTCAGACCTTGATTTCACATTTAGCTTATCACTGAACTTGCTCACTGATTCACAGCTCACCTTTGTATGCCCCTCTTGCAAACGTGTAAAACACAACCGTGTTTGTCTTGCATCTTGTAACTTAGCTGTTGAGGATCTACTACGAAACCTGTTACACTCACTAGGTCTATATGCATTGCTAGACACCACACAGCCTTCTCGATATCCACCTCTCTGAGGCCCTTTCGTCATAAATGATTGCATTTTACCCTCAGACTGGTCTATTCTAGGGGTGAGATTCAATATACTGGCAAACTTGCTCATAGATTGATTGACACTATCGTTTACCAATTTAAGAATATCATCGAACTTTGGCTCGATACCTTCATCCTCTATACGGGAGCTTACCTTCACCCACTTCCTTTGCAGTCGAGTAGGTAGGCGTCTTGCTATTACTTCTAGTATAAAACTCGAGTTGAGGTCACTAATGCAATTCATAGAAATCAAGGTATTCTTATAAGTCATAAGATTATCCAAAAACTCAGTGATTGCCTTGGAGTCATCTTGAAGTTGACTGCCGTTACATTTGACAGCTTCGTATATGTTCCTTACAATCATTGAAGGTCTTCCAATCCTTTGACGTAATATGCTCATAGCCTCAGCGTTTCCCTCATTACGGGGCATGACCTTACAGCACTGTATAGCTCTTGAAGCATCTCTAGTGCAATATCTCATCAAATACATCAATTTCAATTTATCACTTAATAAAAAACTACTCAGCATGATCTCATACTCCCTTACAAACTGTAAATCATCGGCCGGGTTTCCATCAAAACACCGTGGTTCAAACTTAGGGAGTTTGATGTTCCTATTATCCCTGAACGGCGAAACAGTAACATCAACCATGTCATGCTTAACATCAGACACATCGTTACAAGTAACAGACAAGTCACCATGACTTACTTTCCTGTTTGCATCCAAGACGCTTTGTCCCTTCTTTGACCCAGGCATTGTTGAACTTGACCCAATTCCAAAAACCTTCCAGATATTGCTTGTTCAAAGAGGACTTGACCGGCACCAGGAAAGGTAAAAGGTGACTATCCAAACTGTTACCAGCTATCTGTATCGGCCAGAATCTGTTTCTACCATCAGAAACTGTCAGCCACGTCTCGTAAACCGTCAATGCCCAGCTCTTGCTACGCTCGGGCTCACGCTGTTCCTTGAAGTTTCTCAGAAACGCTTAGTAATAACGGACGAAATAATCCAAAGACCGATTGGTGACTCGACGATTTTTTATTGTTACACCAACATATAATAATAATGGTTTTACTAGGGTCTGTGAACAAATATTACAATAATAAATCACATTATTATTTCTGATGGTTTACTGCTGACTTCTTTCTGAACAGCGACCGATGAGACGATGACTGTAGTATTGATGCCTCCGCGAAAATTGGGGAAGTTGATT